CTAAAACTGCTGAGATACAGAAATTAATAAACAATCAGAGAAGGAAATATTGGTTGGAACACCTACACGACAATATAGTTTCAAAATTTGTAAACAAAAACGATTTGAAAATTAAGAGCCGTTTATATCTCAAATATATAGCAATTCATAATGAAATAATTTTTTTATCGTAGAAATATGTGATTAGTAGGGTATTGTGAATATATAAGTCTAGTGAAAATCTTACTTTAAAGCTAAAGCATTTGCTGAAAAAATAGTTCACCCACACGGCGCATTTTTTCGTTTCTACAATATTAAAAAAACCGGAATATAGGTATAAACTCAGTGAGGTCTGTACTGCACTGATATACTTTCAACACTTTTTAATATAATGGTATTTATATATCAACATTCTAATATTTATGTGTAGCATCGATATAGATATAGTGCTCTTATTAAAGCACCAATTAATTAAGTCTATTAAATAATAACAATTGCCACAAAGTACCGTAATTATAGGAGAATAATTTATAACATAACAGTTAACAGTTTACATGTTACTGATCTTTATAGGTATGTATATATACTTATAATTTTCTTGAAGAAATGCCTTATTCGTGCTGCGATATCTTGCCGGTTTCTCACACATGATGGCCTAAGAAACATACGAGGAAACATCTGCAATATAGCAAAATTGTGTATACGAGAGTATCATGGAAATAATGATTCCTCATCAGTTATCCCTTGTGAGACTCATTAATCTAAAGAGGGTATTTACTGGCCACCGAGAAGTCCCGATCTGACACCAGTCGACTTTTTGTAACAGGAGTGGGCTTTTCACTCCGTGCCATTGCCAATATTATTTTTTATTCATTCAATGGGCTCCCTTTTGATCATGATCTTGTCTTGATTCAGAGAATATGTTCATTTCAATATTCCTAAGACACTGTTTGTAATGATCTGAATGGAGGTAAAGTGAAACTGTCTCGGTGTATTTTTATGTTTAGATAATGAAATAATACCAAAAGTATACCGACATGCTAGTATTTTCTTCAAATGTCCAAGATCCAAATCAAATATTCTGAACAATTTGAATACAAGAGAACCCTAGAGTAGGGGCAGTAATAAAACCTCAGTATAATCATTTTGAAAATAATATGAATATAAAGTGCGTTTTTTCATTTTGATTTATGAGATTGGTGATTTGGTATTCTGAAATATGGATTTCAAAAAATAAATGTTTGCTGACCATCCTCGTGATCATCCTCGTGATCATCTTCCCCTCAAAATTTAACGTTCTAATCTATCAGTTGTTGTTGTTGTAAAATTACCGATATTATCGGTATTATCGATATTATAGACAAATCGATAATTTTTCATCTGAATTATTATAGAAGGTAATACCACGAGTCATTAAAAAATATTATCGCCGATTTTTTTCCAATTTTCTACGAAAACTTTTTTTTCTACAAGCGTGCGTGATTCACCCTATACCCGCACGTAATTTAGTTTGGGAAGTGTCATTTTCCCGCAACAGTGCGGGAAAATTTTCCCACACTAGTGCGGGAAATTTTTTCCCGCACTAGTGCGGGAAAACAAAGATATGATAAATTCGCTAGTAATATGAGTGGTTGGTGATTGAATATAATAGTTTAAGTTTGTTTGTTGCAGTATTAAGTATGTATGTTCAGAATCATCCATCAAATTGCACTATTTATTGTAAAAATTAAGAAATATTGAGAAATAAAAATTGATTATTATAAAAATCCCCCTATAGATTTGGATTGATCTGACGGGAAACGTCAATTTGTCATGCCAATCAAACCTCAAATAAGTTTGAAATTGTCGAAGTGACAGACACAGCGTTACTGTCATTATCGATTCAGTGGAAATGCCACAATGTGATCAAAAACATCTAGCTATAGGGATTTGATACAGATGCGTTATCACCAACGAAGTCGTAAGAAAGGTATGAGAAGCTATACACGCGTTTTATTGAATGGTGCAACAATAAAGAAATGAAAAAACCGAATGAAGAATAGGTATTTTTGGCTCATTTCATAGAAGTGTCTGGAACCTAGAGACCAAACTCCTAATGGGCCTGCTGGCTTCCGCAATGAACCAACATAATGCGTCAAACTGTAAGTTCACAATAGCTATTACTAATAATTAATAGATAGAGAATATATATCTCTTGCTATAGTTGTTCCTATTCGCTTGAATAATTAATTGAACTATTCAATCAATTTCCTACGCTTGTAGAAAAAATATTGTTCCTAACTCATGCGGAAAGTGTCTTTCCCGCACTCGACTGCTTGCCCGAACTCCGCTTCGCGTCGTTCGTGTCAACGGCAGTCACGTGCGGGAAAGAATCACTTTCCGCACTTGTTAGGAAAATTACTATTATTTGGCTAAAATATAACAAACCGATTGATAAAATTACTTTTTTCTATCTAATTCGGTTGGTTTTGCCTCAAATACGAAAGTTCAAGTGATGAAAAAAAAATTATCAGATAAAATTTGAGGATCGAGTTGCGAGTTGTATTTGGGAAGATTATTTTCTGCAGACTTGGTTGGCACGGAATATTTGTTGCATCCTGTCTATAAGATGCTATAGGATCTGGTGTCATCAGTCATCACAATGATCATCACTATAACCTTAGAATGTTATAGGTCGCGTGCACGAAGACCGACCCTGGAGGCAAAATATTGAAACACAACCTCATTCTTCTGTGAATTATTGAAACACAACCTCACTCTTCTGTGAATTATTGGAACACAACCTCACTTTTTCATTTGTTCACAGAGGAATCCAAAGGTTGAAATAGTTTTTCACAATATTTTGGCATACGAATCGTGTTTCTTGCGTTATTCATTAATTCAAGCATGCCTTCGCATTGTGCTGTTGTACAATGCACAAAAAATGCAGCAAGAGACTAGGGAATATGATTTTTCAGGTAAATAGTAATCTCACATAGTTAGCATTATGAAATGTTGTCATTCCTTATTAAAATTCCTTCTGCCCTCTGCCACTTCTGCAATACAAGCTAATGCTGCTAATAGATTGAAAATGTCTACAACACACACGATCGTCAGCATGTCAGACCAGTCCTACCGATTGATTGCATGAATCCAATCTTCTTGCATTATTCTAGAAATTTTAGGTATATTTCTATTAGCTGATCCTATTGCAGAAGGAATTCCGATGAGAAATCAGAGAAATAACCAAATTTCAAAAATGAAAACTATGTGAGTGACTATAGTAGGTACTTACTTTTGAATCATAATGTACCATCCGGATTTTTTCATCTTCCGCTGCAGTTTTTGTGCATTTTACAACAGCACAATGTGATGGCATTAGCGAATTGATGAATAGTGAAAAAATACGATTCATATGCCAAAATAATTGTGGAAAACTATTTCGATCACTTGTAAACAAATATGTTTTGCCTCCAGGGTCGGTCATCTGACAGTTCTTGCACGCGACCTATTGTTCATGTTTATGAAAGTGACAATTCTTATTCAGCCCAGTAATAATAATCATGATTATTGATTAAGAATAAGAAGATAATCAACGCAGGTGAGTCAAATGATGGGAATTGAGAACATAATACAATACTATGAAACTGCATGCAACCAACGAGACAACTATGAGTGATATTGGTTATAGATGTGTCTAGTACGGTCTAGTCCAGGCTATAGGAGACATATTGAAATGGCTTGCTTACTAACCTTTGTGAATAAGAACGTAGAAGATAAAAACTCTTCCATTTCGCTGAGGTATCAAAGTTTTCAATTTCTCAGGTTTGTATCCATATTTTGATAACATAAATTTTGCTCACATGAATATTGTGTTTGTGTTTTACGTTTATTGTCATGCTTAGCATAGAATGAATTGCCCACAAAGATGAGAGCTTCAATTTTACACCTCAGAGTTCTCGGAAATATGCCTAAGTACCTGAACATTCTCTTCAATTTCACTTTCGTCTACATTTCGCATAATTACAATTTTAATGAAAAATTCTGATACAAACCGAAAGGTTTTGAATAATTCTGATTGCAACAAAATTCGAAAATGAAAGTTGACAGTTCCTACAATTGACAAACCGGACAGAACTCAAACGACTGAAGATGTGTTTAAAAAACTGTGTTGCCATTGCCATGGTGATGTGTTTAAGAAATTGTGTTGCAATGGTGATGTGTTTATTTTTTTGAATAAATCACATATCATCAAACCCTGATCAATCGATCATTTAGCGTGGTACATAATATACGTATGCTAAATGCCATTTTAGTTATGTTGAGTAGAAAAGGAAAAATAACGCAGTTAGATCTTTAGTTTTGTTTCGACAGTTCAATGTAATTATCGAGGACCATGCAGTGTTATCAGTATAATACCGAATGATTGACTAGCATAACGGATTTCTATTGGTTGAAACAACGGAAACGTCACATTTTGACATGTGAAAAAAATAATCGATGATATTACATCAATAATTATCGACAGTTATAATTTGCCCAGCCCTAGTCTGTATAGTCTTTGCAAAGTCAGTGTGGATTCATACATTTATACACTGAATAAGATAAAATAAGGCATAAGATAAGAAATTTCAACATACGTATTATAATGGAAACGTTCATACATGAACTGAGATAAAATAAGAAATAAGGAATAAAATAAGAGTTGGGCAACTTTTTACTTTTTATTTTGTTTTGTTTGAAAATGGAAGTATAGTCAGTTCCTATATCTCTTATTTAGTATATTATTTATCTGTATAAATTGGTCTTCATGATTCTCATTTCTTAAATTATTGTATTCTATCTTCGATTCTATCCTTATTTTATCTTGTTTGCTGTATAAACCCTAGGGCCCTTGAGACAGCTTGATCAGAATGAGAAACCCGCCAGTCCCTTTGAAAACTTCAAACGGACCGCGTGCCGCCATAATGATTCTTGCTGAATTTGTCTCAAGTGACTTTGCACAGACTATGAAACAATCGCGCATTCTGTGGCAGACTTACCGCACTTTTCATTGTCGGAATCGAAGTCTTGTGGGGGAGATGAATCTCGCACGCAGGACATCAAACTCAGAGGTCCCGCCCCTGATGAATGTGTCCCGACAGCAGCAGATGACATCTGCAAAGGAAATATCACACTTAAGAGGCTTGCTCGTTTGTCCTTGTTCTACCCAGGGGCGGACTGGGTTGAAAAAAGCTAGAGGGCTTTGTGGATCAAAGGGCGCAACATGAAATGATTGTCTGAGTGTTCATACAGAGGCGTAGAAGTGTACCATTTTCTTTTTAATCCGAATCTCAACTCGGATTTGGCCCAATATTGGAATATTGCATAAAAAATCAAAGACAACCCTTGATCATTGATGTATGATATTATCTCCTTCTCGAATAAACAGATACATTCTTACTATCTGAAAAAATACCTACTCAATATATTCATCTTCTGCATGTATTCCTCCAAATATAGGCTTTTAAAACGATTCGAAACAAACATCAGAGTTTCATGGATTTTGAATAGTGTTTGAGAGTATAGGCCATGACAATGATAACAATTTTATTTTTTACTGATCAGATTTGCAATCATTCTCATTATTTTATTTCAAAAATCGATCAAACTCTGTTAGTCTTAGATACTCAAGAATTGAAAAATATGGAAGATGATTATATTGAATGATGTGTCTTTGGAAAGGTCTTTGAGAGGTCTTTCCGTGGCAAAGAAATATACAGTGTCCCATCAACGATTTAATAGACACAGTATTGCTATTTCCCAAACAGTAAGAGATATGAAGTTGATTAGATAGGACAAACGTTGCTTAATTTGAACTTATTCAATATGACGTTATGTACTTTCGAAAAATGTCAGCCGTTCCTGAAATATTTTGAAAAGACTAAAAATCACTGATTTCGTTCCTAATCATGCTCTTGGTTAATATTAGAGAGGAAATATTGAAATTTTGTGTGAACAGGTAATTAATCATGGATGGTGAAGAAGTTGGGATTCTCAGAAATATTCTATCTATTATTTTCAGAGATCTACCAATTCAAATTCAATCATAGAAATATAACTGGAATAAAACTTATGTCAAGACCAAGTCTTACACTGAATGATAACCTTCAATAATAGTTAAAGGAAATAGTATCTTGATTATTAAACGAAAAATTTATATTCTGAGGTTTTCTGTGCCTTTTGTAATAATGTAGCAAGTTATTCATGGTTATTAAGAAGTATCGATATTGTGGTCATGACGACTGATAATATATGTTTTCTCATTTTCATGGCCTACCACATTTGAAAATGTTTTCACTGTTTAGCGCTATTTTCATTCAATGGTATATAAAAACAGATATAGGGCCCATAAGAAAAACGTAGTTTGCATGTTGAATCTCTGAAAATATTGAAAAATATTTCTGACAATCCCAACTTCTTCATCATGATCAATCACCTGTTCATATACAAAATTTCAATAGCTTTTCCCAAATATTAACTAAGAAAAGTTTTTTTCAAAATATTTCAGGAACGGCTGACATTTTTTGAAATTGTAAAACGTCAGAATTCCAAGTACCAATGTCGTCATTCCGAGTAGAAAGTCTGCCTTCGAAAATGAAATTAAAAACGTTGCTTTCTGGCCTTCGTAAGGCGCGATAGCAGCGCGTTTTTTCTTTCTTTGCTTTCTTGGATTCTTAGTATACCAGGGGCAAGGGCGCCACTGGGCAAAGGCGCGGAGGGCTTCGCCCTCCCGCCCTCCGGGCCAGTCCGCCCCTGGTTCTACCTGCTGAACTCGATTTTTTTCTATGACTTTCTTTGTTTACATCATATGCCATGAACAGGGACAACTATGGGAAAAGAATCAACTTCAGCAAGTTTAGTAATACAAACGAACAGGCCTAAAGAAACTATTCGAATGCACCACTGAATTGAAGTAAACAATGGAATGCTTTTGTTAATGAAATTGATTTATTTCATTGCGGCATTAAATTTCTGTATGCAGTATGCAGTTTTTCTTCTCCTGTATGTGAAAGATTTCCTCTCGGATTTTCTTCAAGAAATCCACCCTACAACGAATGTTTTTAAATTCAGTTCAATAAAAGATTCATCGAAAAAATTACGAGTGACGAACGATTTGTTACACAAAACATCTTGTACTCATTTGCCGATAGTCGATGAAAAAAAAAAGTTTTCGGCGGTGGCGTAATGCCATACTCTCCGATGTGACTTACAGCACAGTTTAGAGAATATTATATTCACGAAAATCACCATGCCATACTTTTCCGCCGGTCCGAATGGCCGCCATATCGGGTATTTGAGAGTACAAAGATTAGGACATGGATTATGGTAATGGATGAACTAGATATTGTATTAGGTATTATTTAAATACGAGTTTATATTTCATTCTACTTTATTTTGGGAAGACCATGTCGTATATCGCTACCTCAAAACTACAACTAGATAACTCGAAAATGGGCCGATTTCAGATAACTCCACCAGCCATTATTGTTTCGCATGATACTTCCATTGCAATAACTAGATAACTCAATTCTGATGTTATCTTCCTGATATGGAAAGTATCAAATATAGACATCTTCAAAATCATACATCAAATTATTCCAACAACTAGGTATCTCAAGTTGTCTAATTGTTGCATTATACCTAATATTTCATTCAAGTAGTGTATGAGTTGAGATATCTAGTCGTGCAACCTGATTTGAATTGGTTATAGCCCTCCTAGTTGTTCGTTTATATTAAAATCGATTGTATTGTTCATAACTCTGTTGGGAATTTTTGGTAATAAGAAGTTGACTTATAACCATTATGAGTGTAGTAGAGCACAATATATGGTTGATCGTTGTAGGAACAACGGTGAGTATCAATAAATTGTGTGATTATTACTGGCAAGAGCAGGAAAAAGGAGCGATAAAGCTATTGCCGGAGAATCTAATGGAGAGCTCATTTGCGCGAATTTTGACCTGCAGCAAGTATTACTTGTTCCAACATATCCAACGAACAATGCGCTCTTTTACGAACGCAGGCTTGCTACCTATAATTTCACAGTCTACAATGTTGTGAATAAGCAAGGAGATTGTTTTATGTGGACTGAAACAGAATGTAAGAGGGGCAGCTGTGAGATTGGAAGCTGCGTATACAAATACCTCAAATCATTACCGATTTCCACGAAACAAGTAACCTTCTATAGTGATAGATGCGGTGGCCAAAATTTGAATAAATTCATGGCAACAATGTGTTTGCTAGCCGTCCAAGAAATTCTCAATTTTACGATAATTGATTTAAAATTTCTGGTGAGTGGTCATAGCGAGATGGAGTGTGACTCTATGCATGGTGCAATCAGTAGAGAATTAAAAATAAATTGGTAAGGCGTTATGGCCAGAAGATTGGAAAATATAGCTCGTAGTGCGAGGCGTAAAAGAGATAGGCCTTATATTGTCCACGATCTCAAACAAGACGATATTTTTGACTACAAAAAATTCGTCGAGCAGAACATGTCCATTAGAAAAACAGACGAGAGTGGCGGACCAGTGAACTGGCAGAAAATGTGTTGGATGTGTTTCAACAAAGCTCTGCCGTTCATTATGGAGTTCAAAGAAGCTTTCGATGGTGAATTCAAACTCCTCAACTTCAACAAGAAGACACGTCGTAGTTCTCACCCCACAACTTCACTGCAACATTTGTACAAAGAATCGATTTCTATCACAGAACAAAAATATTAAAACTTGACATCTCTATTCGAAATTAAACCTCCAGCACTAGGAGATGCTTATAAACCATTTTATCACAGTTTACCTCACAATAATAGAGTTTCAGATGTTTTATCCGATATTGAAGAAGAAACAACTGAAGACTAAAATTCTGAATGTGATTTTTCTATGTGTTCCCTTAGATAAGTTTCCATGATTTATTATTCACCGTTTCTTGCCTGAAAATGTGTCCCAGCTTCATTATGAAAGAATTCATGTATTTACTTGAATGAATTCATTCCTGAAGTTGTCTAGTATCAATATCATACATTTTTATGGGTCCGAAGACCATACTTAAATATGGGTAACTATAAGTCATCAAACTTATTCAATACAACAAGTAGATAACATGAAGAATATTTTTTTAACATGTATTACATAATTCGAAAAAAATTCCTACATCTACATAAAACGTCTAAAAGAATCAATGAATCAGAGAAAAAAATATTGAATCTACACCTCATGAGTCTAAGTTGCCACAACCGTTATTGTAGACTGTAAATATTCAATTCGATTTATCTCAGAACTATTAAATCATAGATGTCTATTTGTTGCATTGAGGTAGCGATATAATAATATGAATTATTTATACGAATGATAAGGAAACAGCGATGGAAACAGTGAATATGTCTGAATTCTGCTACAGCAAGAAATCTGATGGTTGGCAGAAAATACACGTGACGAGCCTTCGAGAATGGAGATACGATTAGTATACACATAGATTAAAGTCCACATTTGCATGCATCTGAGAAAAGGAGAGCTTATAATAAGGAAAAGATAAAGTAAGTCATATAATTTGCATTCTCTTCGCGTATATATGAAGATGAATATGGACGATAAGAATATGTTTTTTTTTCAACAATTCACCATCTGTGTTTTTGTGTTCGAACAAACAGACTCTTTTTACGACTTCAAAGAAGAACAAGAAAATCCGAGACAAAATCATCACATAATTTGTTGCACCTTCAAGATTGGAGTCCTTCAAATAGGGACTATAATCACAGTTTATCCAACATCTATTGATAATGTCCCTAAGAACTGAAGTAAAATGTAGCGAGTGTCCGTCGCTTAGTAATTTGTAATATTTTGAAGCAAATAGAAGCGAACTTATCAAAATCAAAAAATCAAAGGATATAGGTACCTATTCTATAAATACCCCTTGATTTGTTCACGAAATAGAAATTGATGGATATGCAAAAATGCAAAACTTCTACACAGGATATATTTTTGCTTTTTTGTTACAACAATCTAAAATTCTTAAATCCATACCCTTTATGCTGCAAAGGGAGTAACAGTTTAATCATAGAGTGAAGAATAATATAAACACAGTCATGTTCCGGAAACATCAACATGAATAGGAACTAACATGTT